AGCCAGCAGCTTGAGGCAATCTTCCACGCACGTCACCTCCACCTCCTCCACCCCCGAGATGTACACCCCGTTCTCGCTCTCCCGTATTTGCATGTTGGAGCTTGACGGACGCAGCAGATCTTGAATCTGCAGAGTCGAGCCCAACGGGTTGAAACGGGAAGGGGGAAGGGGGGAGGGGTAGAAGGGGTGGGGAGGTGGGGGAGGAGGGTGGGGAAGGGGAAGGATATGGTAAGTACAGGGAGGAGCAGTCGAACGTAAGTAGGAAAAAAAAACGCGAAAGATTCGCAAAAAACTCTGAGAAGACTCACAAATCACAGGACGATAATGATCGACGGTCATTACCATTTCCATGTAGATCTGAATGTACGACATCGACACCCGGTACGTATGGCTAGGGTCCGCTCGCGCTATCACAAACACCTCTGATTAGAGACACAACTAGTGATCGACGGTCATACCATTTCCATGTAGATTTGAATGTACGACATCGACACCCTGTATGTGTGGGTCGGGTCCGCGCGCGCCATCACGAAGACTTCAGCCGCTGCTCGCGGGATGATGCCTAGGTGTGGAGGCTTGGTGCTCGAGAGCGTGTACGTCTTTCCGGCCCCGGTCTGGCCGTACGCCATGACCGTGCCGTTGTAACCGTTCAACACATCCTGTAACGAAAGCACAGAAGGGGTAATTTCTGAGTTGACTCAATAACCGGTCTGACCGTACACCATGACCGTGCCGTTGTAACCGTTGGAGGGGAGAGCGGAGTGGAGGGTAGAAAGACAGCGACGAGAGCGACGAGAGGGACGAGAGGGACGAGATGGACGAGAGGGACGAGAGGGACGAGAGCGCATGGAGACAACGAAAGAAGCAAACAAGACATCCAGAACATTTGACTGTTGCACGAACCGCGACGACGGGCTTCGCAGCGACTTGATACACGTCTGCTTGAGTGGCCGTTGGAGGGAGAACGGAGTCGAATTCAAACTCCATCTGCTCCAGCTGACCGTTGCTCCTGTTGCACACAGACCATGACAGAAAGCGTGACAAGAGTGGGTCCCGATGAATACATGAGTAAACTTCAAAAGGCGAAACTTCACAATACGGCAAGCGCGGTATTGACGCAGAGGTCCTACTGTCCTGTTCTTGTTCGCAGAGCCAAGATTCTAACGACAGATGGTCGAGGCGGGAACAAGTCACATAATACGAGGAATTTGACGGATGCTGCCTGTTAAGGAGAACGGTGCTGTCGTCGGGAGACGAATCCATTGCAAGCTCTCCAATGCTTAGTTTCAAGGCGACTAAGAAACACAACACATGGATCGGACGGAAGTTACCTGTGAAGGACAACGGTGCTGTCGTCGGGAAATTTGTGCGTCGGGAGATTTTCGTTGGTATTCTTCGAGGCGCCTAACACACATGTATCTGACGGACGTTACCTGTGAAGGACAACGGTGCTGTCGTCGGGGGAAATGTTCATCCCGAACTCTCCATTGCTGGCGTTTATGGTGCCTAAGAATCGCAATACACGGCTATGACAGACGTTACCTGTGAAGGACAACGGTGCTGTCGTCGGGGGAAATGTCCATCGCGAACTCTCCATTGCTGGCTGCTTCCTCTGCTGTAGGAGGCCGTACTCGAATGGTCACTCGCACTCGTTCTACGCGCAAAACAGAGAAAAGTACTTCCGAATGTTACATGGTGGCACGGAGCTCGGAGATGAATTATTAAGGCATTTAACGGATACAAAATTGGAGGTCAGTGATAAGAAGCATCAGGCTATGCGCTCTAAGCAGGCGATACAAGGCTAGAGTAGTAACACTAACGGTAGGACGGCATACTCTTTACTACAGCGATGGTGCACAGTGGGACATAGTCAAACAGCGACGAGTAATTTTCTCTGAAGTATCTCTTCACGCTCTCCTACAAGCATATCGTCTAACGGTATCCTATGCTGGCCATGTGAACATCTCGGAACATGTCTACCGATGAAGCCTATTAACCACTTCTGTAGCATTCGCTACATCGCCTACGGCAGGTTATGACAACTAAGCCAAGCTTCTCCTTACCAGATTCCCCTTGAGTGGCATCATCAAGCAGAGAACCGTCTCTGCTGTCTCGTCCGCATCCTTTCTCTCCTTTTCCACCGGCTCTTCCTCGTCTTCTCTGAGAATCCTGAGAGGTATTCGAGCTTCGAGCTCTCACTAGTGAATGCGAACCCTTTTCGCCATCTACGTTCGTCATAACCTATTGTAGTCCTTACTTACTGCGACAGTACTATATGGATCCCGTTCAGCTATTGACTGAATATACGCCTCGCTATAAATACGATCACGCGTGGCTTATTTTATACGTCGTTATCAAGGCGTCGTTATCTGGATAGAAAACTATCAAACGCAGACGAGACAAAGACACACGCCTGGCGGTAAGAACGAGGCTAATAAACTTCCGGGGAGACAAGGGACTGAAATCAACTCCGTCTGTCAATCCTCCGGTTGCTCTATCAGCTCAGACCAGCATTCAAGATGACTTTTGGCTTCTCCGCCTGCTGACAGCAAACAGCCTGAAACAGCTGCTAGAAGATGGGTCCGAAGCCTGATAGCAGGCAATGCCAAAAGCAAGCTACCAGCAGCACCCTACCAGCAAGCCAGCAGCATCAACCCTCGGGAATGTCATGGATGTCATGGTGCCAAAAACATTATCATTGGAGGCTCGGAGCCCAGGGACCGAAGCTGGAGATGCTCTAGTCCAAGCGGTTCGGTTTGCAAGCAATCTCTGTTAGGTTGGGTGGGGGAGGAGAAAGCGGAAGCCAGGGCGGAAGCGGCGGAGGAATTTAAAGCCGTGGTGCAGATATCCCGGCTCCAGTTCAAACTATTATAGTTTGAAAGCCGCGTAACCCAGTATACACAGGAAAGCGAGCAGGGAGAGGTTTCTGCCAGCGGGGGAAGGGCGTGCGGAAAAGTCCTTCGCAGTATGATGTGTGGGGGGGGAAACGGGGGAGGGCTCGGGGAAAAGCTCCGCTCAACGAGATGAGGGGGAGCGCAGGCAGCAAACTTGAAAATTCAAACTTGAACTCAAAACAACTCAAACTCAGCAAACTCTCACGCTTGAACTAGGTTCTTACTAACTTGAAGTAAGTTTCCCGAGCTACGCAGAGCCATTTCCGCTAAGATTTCTCGCGTTTCATGGTCTATTGATGTGCTCACGAATATCTGCGCAATTTCCTACCTCGTAAACACCGTTTTTGTCGTATTCGAAGCGCATTGCGCTCGTTTTCCTCCGTTGCCATCCTTATTCCTCTCCCGCCCCTCCATTCCTCACGTATCTGCGGTAGCAAAGGCGCAACGGCAGCGACAGGCAGGAATGGGTGCGACGGTGGCGAGCAGCGGGGCGACGATTGTGAAGATAAGCAGTAGAAGAAGGCGCCATAGCTAGGAAAGCCCTAGCTAGGCAAGAAACAGTTTAGGCAAAGAGGGGGTTCACTAGCAGGAATGAGGATACAAATAGCAAACCCTAGAAGGGTTGTACTCGCTATAGAGCACCCCACTACAGACTAGAGCATAACATTCTGACACACCCCCATAGCCAAAGTGGGGTGTAATCAGCAGAGCAAGCAAAGCAGAACAAGCTCAGGGTGGATCACAATGTCACCACACATTCTGAGCACAAGTACAAGAAGCAATAGTTTAAAGTTTACAATTATGAGCAAAGCTAGAGGCTATCGCAGAGGGCAAGTGAGGAGGAGGAGGCGAGACTGTAAGAGGAGAGGAGATAGGAGGCGACGACTGAAGGTGCAGACACACGGGCAACAGGAGGCACACTGGCACAGCGGCTACCGGAACAGCGCTCCGGACTACTGGAGTAACTGGCCCCGCGGCTAAAAGTAGCGGCAGACGAGCAACGGACCCACGGGCGACTGGCACAGGTGGCTGCGACTGGGCTACCGGAGCAACTCCCCGGACTACAGGTGCTGCTGGCGACACGACGACAACCTTCGTTCAACCTCCCCAAACAGTCCCACCCCCCCTGACACACACCCCCTGCTTCACCCCTAGCTCCACTCCCCCTTCACCCCCCTTAGTACCACTCCGACGGCTCCAACAGGTCCACCCCCCTCAGCGGCAGCTGCAGCACTGGGAGACGGAGGAGGAGGAGGAGCAGGGGACGGCACACAGAAGCTGCACCCCCATGCCCCCCACCCCCAAACCCTAATTCAGGAGAACGGGCAGTAGCAGGGGTGGGGCGCCATCAGAAGCACGGGGGACAGCGGGCAGCGCAGGGGCAACGAAGAACGGGCCGCCCACGGGCCTGGCACAGCCGCCCGAACCGCGCGCAGGCGGCCCGAGCCGCGCGCGGGCCTGGCGCAGCCCGTACGGGCCGCGCGCGGGCCTGGCGCAGCCCGTACTGGCCGCGCGCGGGCCTGGCGCAGCCCGTACGGGCCGCGCGCAGGCTGTACGGGCCGCGCACAGGCCACGACGGGTGACGGGGGGCGACGCGCGGGTCCCCGTCGCCCGTCGCAGCGCCTCCCGGGAGCGACGCGCTGCGTGACGGGGCAGAAACCCGCCGCGCGCCTCGGGGCGCACGGCGGGCAGAGAACCGCCGCGCGCCTCGGGGCGCACGGCGGGCAGAAAACCGCCGCGCACCTCGGGGCGCACGGCGGGCAGAAAACCGCCGCACGCTCCGAGCGCGTGGCGGGATGAAAAATCCGTTGCACGCCACGGGGCGTGCAACACAGAGAGTAGCAGTAGCAGCGGAAGCAGTGAGGTGGGGCCCACAGGCCAGGAGCATATCGCTCTGATACCATGTGAAGATAAGCAGTAGAAGAAGGCGCCATAGCTAGGAAAGCCCTAGCTAGGCAAGAAACAGTTTAGGCAAAGAGGGGGTTCACTAGCAGGAATGAGGATACAAATAGCAAACCCTAGAAGGGTTGTACTCGCTATAGAGCACCCCACTACAGGCTAGAGCATAACATTCTGACAACGATAGCTAGATATCGGTGGTCGCATATGAGCAGCGGGGCCCCCCTGTCCTCCTCTCCCTTTCCCCCTGTCCTCCTCTCCCTTTCCCCCTGTCCTCCTCTCCCTTTCCCCTTGTCCTCCTCTCCCTTTCCCCCTGTCCTCCTCTCCCTTTCCCCCTGTCCTCCTCTCCCTTTCCCCCTATCCTCCTCTCCCTTTCCCCCTGTCCTCCTCTCTATTTCACCCTGTCCTTCTCTCCCTTTCCCCCTATCCTCCTCTCCCTTTCCCCCTGTCCTCCTCTCCCTTTCCCCCTGTCCTCCTCTCCCTTTCCCTCTGTCCTCCTCTCCATTTCTCCCTGTCCGCCTCTCCCTTTCCCCCTGTCGTTCTCTCCCTTTCCCCCTGTCCTCTCTCCCTCCCACCCTTCCTCCCCCTCTCTCACATCCCTTCCTTTCCTACTGTCCTCTCCCACCATTCACGCTTCTCTCACCCATCCCTTTCCCCCCTCCCCTGTCCCTCGCTTTCCCCCACTACCGTCCCTTCCCTTTCCACTACGTTCTCTCGTCCAGCCCAGCCGACAGTACCAGCTTTGCTTGGCCACTGAAGGCTGTCTATCATATCTCAGTTTCCATGCTCTCCTCAATTTCCCTACCTAACATTCTTCAATAATGTGCAACGTTTCCTTCCCTTCCCCACCTCCCCCCCCCCCCCCCCCCCCCCCCTTTCCCCTCCCCCCTCCTCCCTGCAAATGGACAGCTGCACCAATAGTGGATCGGAGTGTAAAAATCTGCTCTCCTTGGATGATGCCATGTTTGCTTTTATCCTTAGCATAATAAGGATTTCAATATGACATTCCAAGTCTTGCACATCTGTACAGTTGATGTTCTTTCTCCCCATTAGAAATATTACTCTTGCAAATGGATGGATAAATAAACCAAAATAAAACTTGAAAGTGAAATTGGTATTTTGCGCAGCTTTTTTGGAACATAAGGTTTCTCGTTTTGCAATGTGGAGGTGTTATTGGCAGAACAATCAGCGAAAGGGAGTATGGGGGTGTTGATGTGGTCCCATTTCCCGTTTCGTGTGTGTTCCCCCCTTTCCTTCCCCCCAACCCCTTCCCCCCCACTTTTCCTTTCGAGGTTCGCGACATTCACCTTAGATGTTTTCATCGCAACACGACTTACACTCTCGCTAGCCAATTGACTACCAGTACGGAACAAGACAAAACCCGGTTTGACACTGTTCCTAAGATAGTTGCACCGCGGCTTTAATGTCCCCCTCTCCTTTCCCCTCCCCTCTTCGCCCTTGTGTGAAGTTGTTGCCCCCTGGCGCTGGGGAACAGGTCACTCTGCGGATAGTTTATGCCTCATCACGCGCGCATCTCCCCGCTGACCACAACGAATAGTCAGAAACCTGAATGCCATGCCATGACATGCTGAGAGGCTTGGTGCGGTCCGGCTGACGCGGGTCTGTTGCGAAATTCCAAATTGTTGAGGGTGTCGCTGGGATAGCGCGACTCGATGGCTGGAGGTATCGGGCTTCACCAGCAACCCGAAGCTTACGAAATGAGGCTCGGCAGCAAAATTTTGTGAGAGGGAACTCATTCCGCCAATCAAGTCAGCTTTACGGAGTAGCGTGGCAGAAGTGGTTCTTTCCACGAAGAATTCGTGTTGCTTTTCACCATGCTGAATGTGGTCCTGTTTGGCGGGAAAGGTCTTCAGACGGATTGGAGAGTGAACACCTTATTGATATATATCCCTATACTTTCATGGTTCTGAGTTCTGACATTCAAACCAAAACACACGTTTTACCTGTATGCCAATGCAGTGGTCCGCAGGTCACTGAAACTATTTGCTCCTCAACCGTGGGACGTGTGCACGCCCCAAATTGATGTCACACGCTTTTGATGAATTGCCAACCTCTATAAGCTTGAGATGTTTCCAATATTGCAAGGTTGTGGAATTGTTCTTTGAAACAAGCACCCACTAAAAGACACTATCTAGCAACTAATACCCCTTATGCACAGTCCACCCCTGATTATCCAACACTTTTAACGAGCAAGATGACAACCCATACCAATCTTCTTCTCAGAGCTTGCTGATCATCTTTGCAGCATCCAAGCAGTGCGCTGTAGCAAGGTTCAGAGTGGTGGCAGGCGGTGGTTTCTCATGGGCATCCCGCATGTGCTCCACGTCCTTCTCTAGCTCTTCCAGACACCTCTCCACCGCCTCCTCCTTGCGGCCCCACACTGTCCCTCCCTGCACGCCCTGTCGCACCAAAGATGTACAAATCGGAAAAACTCAGGCACGGTAGCAACCACTTTGCAAAACCGTGTCTTATTCTCACAGCAGTTCACTTCCCCGCTAAAAAAGAACGAGCATAACATCGGAGCTTACATGCTGGGGATGGTGCAGCAGCGCGCCGAGCCCAAGGTGCACTCGCTCCAGCACAGTGTCGCCAGCCGCGGCGAGCGAGTCGCCGGAAACCAGCGCGTCGTGGCTGTGGTCAACGCCTACTTTTCTCTTCCCGACCACCGTCCCCGTTTTGACGTGCTGCAGCATGCGCGCATACGACTGCAGGAACAGAGTCATCGCTTGGTGGGATGGGAAGACAGGAGTCGGCGGGAGCGTCGCAAGAGGTTCGAGCTCAGGCTCTTCTGCAGGCTCTGGTTGGGGCGGCGCCGCCTTGGACGGTTTCGTGAACCCTGAAGAAAGAATACACACGGGAAACGAAAAAAGCGTTAACTTCACGATTTTTTGGAGCCGTCATTAGGAAACTTCGTTTAACCAGAAAAGTTTGGAACGTTGCACGTAATCTGGTTGTGTGCGGCATTATGTCGGCCTTTATTATCTTCCGAGCAAGCGGACGGCCTACTATGATGCTTAAAAACAGCGCTTCTCGTCAAATCAATATTACTAAACTCTATTCTGAATACTTCCTCCAAAAAATAGAAAATAAAACAACAAGAAAAGGTAACGGTACGTTACGGTGCTACGGATCTGTGTATTTTTTTAGCGCTTACATGTGTCAGGGTTGAAAATGTTGACGGGTTCGGGGGAGGAGTTCTTAGGAGGGGCGATTCGACAGACAGTGACACGCGTAGAAAGCCGCTTCTGCTTTGCTGCTCCTTGCGACGCTACGAGCCTCGTCACGGTAGCGGGACAGCTGAGGGTCGTCATGAATCTGATGGAAAAAATACAACTTGATAACTCGAAGACACAGCACCTGGAAAGATTGCGGTGGTGGCGCTCGAAGATCGTAGTAAGTAGAAAGAGTAGAGGCTAGGACGTTGGCAAATGTGGTGAATAATCCAGTGATCGAATGATATGGGAAGGCCTCAGGTGTGTGCGTGTGTGTTGCGAGCAAGCGAATATCCCAATCTGGTCAGCGAATTTTCTAATTGTTACGTGTCATCATCTAGTTCGCTAATATATGGTGTGATCAGGTGGACGGTTTCGTTTTCGCAAATCTTTCCTTTTTCCAGAAATTAACGAGGTTCCCGACGAACGCGAACCTCGCAATTCTCATTTACGGAACGCCTGCGTTTTCGCACCATGTTACCAGAAACCTGAATGTTACAAAATGTTACAACTGGATTTTGGGAGACGTGGCATGATGCCAACTCACGGCCGGGGTGCTGTAGCGATGGCAAGATTTGCCCGGAGGAGCCGCGGCACACCGTCCACAAGATTTGCGCACGCCACAAACCAACCACACTCCGCGGATGAGGAGAGCGAGGCGCAGCCGATGCCAGCCTTTGCGCACAAGCTGGTTTGGTTGGGCTTGGGCGGTTTTTGGCTCGGGGACTCGGGGTCGGGGCTGGGGTTGAGGGGAGGAGGGAGGTATGGATAGATGCGAAGCACACGACTCCCGCAAACTTGCCACCGCCAGCTGGCTGTCAAAGTAGTACGGTTCCAGCGATGCAGGGAAAATAAGCAACTTCGTAAGAAACCGCGTTGACCATCTTTCTACGTGTACCAAGTTGAACGGCTACGTGTCATATCCAGCGGTTATGAATTGCTTGTTTCAATGCGGCTGGACAAGATGATTCCACGTGGTCATAGTGTTCCACATGAGCACGTCATCCTTCCACCCACTGTTTTTTAAAGCTGGCGCGGGTCGCACTGTGCACGTCGTGGATGTGCCTCAGTGAGGTCGTTGATGAGATGAGAGCAACTCTCTGTGGCCATTTTTATCGGTTGACTTCGAACCTTTCCAACAGCGCAGAGGACATGGTGGAGGAATGACGAAACTTGGGGTGGTACACGTCATGCGTCTCTTACACCACGACTTTCGATGCGCTTTACACGGGAAAGGCATTTGACAAACCACCAATCCTCGACACAAGATCACACCGCGAACCAGTGTGATTCAGTGCCAAGATCCAGCTCACATTGACCACAAAGGAGACTGCTTTGTCAGCCCAGCTGTCGAACAGTTGTTTCCGAGTGCCGTCTCCTGACATGGAACTCCGTACTGTACTGGATGGGCCTATGCACGCCAGAGGTCTCTCCAAGCCGCTCTTTCTTTGTCAGGGCTCACCCAAACCGGATGGGAAAATCTAGGTAGAGTCAGGGTGTGTTCTTTATTTGAGGCAACTTTCCAGGACCGCTCGAAACACCAACAAAATTGACCGAGGGGCTGGCCGCACTTCATTCCCACACTTTTCAGTATCTGCAGCACCAGATGCCTCATTCTGTGATAACCTTCAAAGACCAGAAATGGGTGCTGCGACAAACTTCACAAAGTTTCAGACACATCCAGATTTGGAAGGTACTGGGTCAGAAATCCAATAAACGATACGGCTTCAGAGGTGGAACTCGCCCGCCAGCAATGCAAGCCAACAAATGGGTTTCCACTTGCTTGAGCTTGAACAAGGAAGTATTTCGAACCAATGAGAACCTTGTAAATTATTGAGGGTCTCGCAGCTGAAGTTTATAAGCACGCTCTTGGTTCCAAAGAGATGGGGCAGTCTTCGCGGTTGGTCGTCGTTGTCGCCAGCCTGTCTACAGAAAGGCTCTCTTTTTTAGGGTGTTTTACCCTATTTGCCCTTCCAAACAGGATGTTTTTTGGGTGCGACCCTGCTAAAACTGGGTTCCCCAGGACGTCACCCGGCCACAATCCGAGTGCCTTTTAATTTTATACGGCTGAAGCAGGCTTGCCATGGTTTTAACCCTGCACGTGAGGAGTTCCTCAAAGAAACACCCGGCCACTTTGCGTACGTGTTCCGCTGAACACCATGTGTGTCGTGAAAAAACGTACTGAGGCTCGCAGAGACAGATGTAGAGCGGTGCTGTGATCCTATTGGGCTGATTTGGCAAACCCCGAACTCTGCTGTTTAAAAGAAAACTAAGTGCTGAGACTCGCAGACACAGCTGTAGAGCGTGCTGTGCCAGTCACAACACTTGTGGCAAAACAGGGTCCTCGGAAAAATCACCCTGCCACAAATCAGGTGTGGCGAAAAAACACCCTGCCACTACCCTGATTTTGCCGCTTGCCACTCGGCTTGGCCGGGTGGCGGGCGGCGGGAACCCTGATTTGGAAGAGTGCCCTAAAATGAAAAGAGAGCCCTGGTCTACAGCCCAGCCGCGACAATTATCGAAAAGCGAAAGTCCGTCTCCGCCTTTCGCTTTTCCGCGTTCCGCCACCGCCATCCTCTCCGCTCGGTAGGTTGGTTGGAACTTGGATGGAGGTGAGGGGTGAGTGAGGTGCAAAATGGGGAGATGCGCCACAGAGATGATAACCGAAGCACACTTAATGTGTGCATGCGGCTTGGGATTGTGTGGCGTGAAATGTGTCTCTCATTTACTCAACTGAACCCATCCAAAAAAATCTGCAACGTTTCCAAACCATCCCAACTTACAACAGCGGCAAAAATGCGGAGTCGTGTTGTCAGTCCCCAACCATCATAATTCTGAAGCATAAATTGCTTCCACTCCTATCACTCACTCGCCAAATCAGTTCAACCACCATTTCACTATCTATTCGGCTGTCGAGCAGCAATTACAAGCCCGCTGCCGCCTTCAGCTGTCACAAGTTTGAGTTCGCATTCAGAAGACATTGTTTTCCGTCATCCGGATATCGTCCCACTCCTGCCATGGCTCACGCGTTTCTCACTGGCGCCGCCGTCGCGTCTCCGGGTTTCACCTCTGATTTTGGCAAGATCCCAGCGCAGCGCCAAGCTCCATCGACGACGGGCATTCGCATCGCGCCGGTCCGCACTGAAGCTCCTCATGTCATTGCCACTGTCACCGCCTCCCCTATCCCCGCGAAAGTTTCAGGTAGGTCCAATATTCCAATACGTTTTCGAAGAGTTTTGCCAGACCGTTTAGTAAACATTTATATCTTCCAGTCCTTTCATTCGCCCTGAATTCGTTCTGCTCTCACTTATCTTTCTCGCGATGTCACTAAATGCGTGACCTCTTGATGTCTCTTCTTCTTGTTGTTTCTCATGTCGTCAATCTCACAATTGTTTTCGTTTTTCTCTCTCCCTCTCTTTCGTTTTTCCGTCATCGGCCGTTCCCGCAGATGCCGCCACCTCCATGAAGGCACCACCTACCCTCGCCGACGATAATGCCTCACGATGCCGCCGATGCAAGAATCCATGCACCAAAGAAGATCCCTGCACCGTAGCGCCTGATTTTTACCCCTTCACGTCACTCCCGCCAACTCCGGTCTTCCCGTCGCACGCAGCCATGGCGCAGTTTCTCCAATCCTACGCTCGCATGCTGCAGCACGTCCAAACCGCCACGTCGGGCGTAGCCCGAATTGACCCCGTTGACCGCGTTGACCACAGCCAGGACGCCCTTGTCTCCGGCGAATCCCTCGCCGCCGCTGGCACGACCGTGCTGAAGCGCGTGCGCGTGGGAATCCGTGCGCTGCTGCGCCACCCGGCGCACGGAGTTCCGTCGGGCCGCGGGGGGGCGTGGTGCGCAAAGAAGGAGCGCGCGGAGGAGGTCCTTGCGGAGCTGGAGCGCGATATTGAGGTCATTCGCTCTGCCCATGAGCGCCCGCCCCGCGCTACGACGCTCGCACTTGCGACCATTCACTGCTTCGACGCCGCTCGGATCATCCGCACGCTGTGAAGTGGTCAGAACCGATGATGGTGACCATGGGTCCAAAGTTCTCCACGCTGGCCCCATCACTCAACCTTCATTTATCATCCCGCCCCATTCAACAAAAAAATGGCTGCTAATATGTGAGCTGGGTAAATCCGAGCCATATGGTTTGTGTTTGTTTATGCTCTTGAGGTGTGCATAATTAATGCCCCAGGATGTGGCCATCAGTGATTGACTTGGTTGGCAGGACCCTTGTGCTTTTTTTTATGTTGGGAGAAGCTTCTATGATGATAAAAAATGATAGGGACCCATCTGCTGGTGGTGTATATGATAGGGGCATCTTGTGTCCGCAATTGTCATGTTTGAAATATGCTAGCTTTATATTTATATTTCCTACCTACCTGCTGAATGTCCCTTGTACATTCTCTGGACGGATCTGAGTGTACGTACTTGAATTTGCTCTTTTCCCCTTGCAAACGAAAACACGAGCATAGTGTTCTTAGAGGACCTCAATTTTCGATTGCTGATTCTGGTTACCAGGTTCTCCCCAGATTCGCCACCGGCTGCAAAACCCTCTGCTACCAACCAGCTTTTCAATTCTCTCTTGCAAGGATTTGGCGCTCGCAACTTTCGCCTCATCAATGCCGAAACATAATCGCTACTGTGTTAGGTGTGGTGCCGTTACGTGACGAGCCTCCATACCAGAAACGTTCATTCTTGAATGGTTATTTACTGTGCTTACTCCAGCCTTGGTAACTCCGATCCTACAAACGAAGGCCTGTTTTAGAGGAAATGACAGACCGCCCTGCTTTCTTCCTTTCGATTCCAACGGGCGTTGGTTTTGACAGCACCTTGCTCCGCAATCGCGTCCAATTCCCATGGTCTGTTTTCTGCAACAGTACTCATTTTACGTTTTTTTCGGGTTTAGCGCTCACTAATGGTTTCGCCAGATCCGCCAGTTACTCTAAACCCCTGAATATATGACCCCCTCCAGTTGTCAGGGGGGTACTCTATTCGAGTCTATTCCAGTTATACCCCACTAAAGCGCATCTGACATTGTACTGTCATCGCTCAGATATAAGACATCTATGTCTTATACACTAGAAAGAATGCTTGGGTTGTCTTGTAATTGGGGGGGGGTAGGGTGCCTTATAATTCTTATAAATGGACAAAGAACTGTTTGGAAGATACCCACTCGTTATAAGATTACCCATAACCTCTACACTGTCTTAACTTGTACACACCTACACGTGTCTTATAATCAGAAACACCCATTTATAAGATACACCCGTCTTAAAGACACCCACTGTCTTCAATTCGCCACAGTCTTATATCCGGACGATGACGGTAAGAACCCTCCCCTCCCACTAGAGGCCTAGTCATTTGTGATGCAAGCAATGATAATTTGAGTTTTTCCATGTTCATCAAGGAGGTAGCACAACCAAACACATATGCACAGGCACATTAATCCTCATAATGTCTAGCAACCCAAGTCTCTACCTCCTCCCCGTCATATCACCCTTCTGCCCACCACTCATCGCCATCAAACAACCTACAAACAGGGATGTGCCAGCTATACGACCGTACAGCCCTCTCGAAGCGTGCATGAGGTGTGAAGGCCGAGGTGACACTGTGCGCTAGGCCCATCACACGGTGCCCTTCCTGCAAATGTGGTAACCAATCTATATGGCCAATGGGAGAAGGCACCCAGCTTGACTTCGCGATAACGTGGGCGACCACCCGAAACAGCCCGCACATGTCAATGGGCACAACGGCCAGCGCTTCCTCGGCGTCCGAACCCTTGTCGGGGAAGGTGTGCTGCGCCGATTGCCCACCGACGCAAGAGACACACGGCAGGTCGGCCTTGGTTGATGGCTTGATTTCCATGCCGGTGGTGAATTCGTGCTATGCCGAGCTCTAGATCGTGTCGACGTCAACATGCGCGAGCCTTGCGTGCTACATGTCAGGCGTCGACTTTGTTGCCGAGGCGATCGCCCGCAGAGCCACAACCTTGGACGACGCCGATAGCGGCTTCGTCGAGCAGGGGCGAAGGTCGGTCCAGAGGACCAGGCCGGTGTAGTGCGGCCGACCAAGCACGTCCCCCGCTGCCGAGGCGAGCAGCATCTCGTCGTCGACGTCCTGCAACTTTACGCCGCTGTCCTTCAACTGGCTGGCTGTCCGCAGTTTTGCCTGCACGGCCGGGACATAAAGCACGTCGGGGACGAGAACCCGCTTCCCAGCCTCCCCTTGCAGAACGCTGGTGCCACGGCCTTCGTCGGTCTGCAACGCTCCATTGAAGCCGCGCACGCGTTTCACGTCACCGCTCGGCTTTATGTTGACGATAGCCTCCTTTGTCCCCATAAGGTAGTGGGAGCACCCGCTATCAAACAGCACCGCCATTGGGTTCGCCTGCATGGCGGCGGCGACCGCCAGAAAGACCATCGGCTCCACGATGCTGACCATCGAGCACAATGCCTCCCTGTTTGTCAGAATCCCAACCACTAGACCATTGGGATAAAAGGGCTTGTTAAGTAGCGGGTCAGAGTGCGCCCATAACCCCCCAGGCGAACGCGCCTGTAACCCCTCTAGGATCAATCGGGCATCCACAGTGCAGATCTACTGACACCCCCCCACACTGGGAGGCCCAGGACTGAGCACAGCGGCAACGGCCTACATGTGCATACACCGGGATTCGAACCCGAGACCACTTTGACACCATGTCAGAATCCCAACCACTAGACCATTGGGATAGAAGGGCTTGTTAAGTAGCGGGTCAGTGCGCCCATAACCCCCCAGGCCAACATGCCTGTAACCCTTCCCTAGGATCAATCGGGGATCACCAATGGACTTCTGACACCCCCCCGCACTGGGGTGCCCGAAGTGAACACACTGGGATTCGAACCCGAGACCTTCGCTCTGATACCATGTCAGAATCCCAACCACTAGACCATTGGGATAAAAGGGCTTGTTAAGTAGCGGGTCAGAGTGCGCCCATAACCCCCCAGGCGAACGCGCCTGTTGCCTTGGCCCTTGCTGCCAGAGAAGTCAATGTCCTTCACTGGCAACGTCTTCTTTGACGCTTGCTTCTCCTTGTGCGGCTGGTAGTCTCGACGCCGACGACCACTGTTGGACCTCCCGCGGCCTCCCTTGTGGTCGTCGTTGTCGAACTCCTTGCAATCAGGATATTATGAGGGGTGGTCAGCATCATCACATACCCAACATTTCCACCAACAACCACCGCCGCCATGGCCATTGTCCCAAGCTGACTTCGTTCAGTAGGCATCTTTTGCCGACTTCCCACCTCCACTATTACCACGCTGCCCTTGTTGGCGTCCCTGCTTCATTGGGGTGACGTAGTTTGCCTGTGGAAGGAGCTCCGTGGGCAATTCGACCTCCTGCATGGCCTCATCCTTGATGGTGTGGCTGGTCAGCGTATCCTCGTTGAGCAACTCACGCACGTCGGGCATGGCACCTCATATTGTAGCCGCTCAGGAGTCCCTTAACGACATGCGTGATGTAGGACACCATCGAGTAGTCGGCACCGTTCATCCCCATGTCGGCCAAGATCCGCTGAGCTCGGTTGTAGTATTCCATCCCCGACTCCCGCTCGCCCATCCTGAAGTGAGTCAGGCACTCCTCCAGCTGGCCGATGCACAGGTCGTCGGTCGCCTGGTACGTCACGTGATGAACCGCCATGCCTGGAGGCCAGCATCCAGCCAAAGTCGGCACGACTTTAGCGCAATCTGCAGCATCGGCGATCAGCACCACGAGATGACCATGATGATCAGAAGGTGAGCAGCGTGGATTTCCTCCCGGAGCTTAATGTTGGCCTCGTACGGCGTCTCCACGTCGCCGTCGGCAAAGAAATCCAGCCCGACGATCTCTAGTTGGGGCTCGATCGAATCCCTCTGCGTAATGAGGTCATGTCAACCTTCCAGCGGCACGGTCACGACGAGAACTTGAAGTACCCGTAAGTTGGAGCGATCCCTCCCGCCATCACGTATGTCGCCAACGTCGACCCCACACTGCTTCGCTGAAGAGAACGGCGTCGTCTGCCGACGCTGCCATGCGAGCTGACAACATCCGTCGCCGACCGCAACCACCACGCTTGCATTTTGCTGACTTTGTCGTCGGTGGCCCCGATCACTCCTCTCATCACCCTTGTACCCTCGCCGCTGGCTTGGTTACCGTTGTCGACTTGCTCGTTGATACCGCCTTTGTTGCGTACTGGTTGGGGAGAGGCGAACGCACCGTCCGCTAAGAAAGGTGGTTCCGCGCCCACTGCGCGTGATTGCCTAGGAGGAGCACCGGGGACCACCCCGGAGCCGCCAGCTGCGTGGCGTCTCCTAGCATCAGCCTCTCATGCCTCCAACGTATCCTCTACCGCTCCGGGTTCTACCGGGGTAGGCACCATGGTCTGAATAGTCTGCGCGCCTAAGAACGAATTAGGCATGCGGTAAGTCGTTTATTAATTTTAAGGTAATATGCGGTGCCGTCCACGCTCACCGCACCATGCGGAGAGACAATCTACACTGGTGGGAGCTAGACTATGGAGGAGGCACATGTGGTACGATTGATCGTTGCTTGCACTAGCGTTCTCTCTACATGCACATTTACACCAATAATTTGCAAGGGTTTCACTAGCAAAAGCTGGGTACAAAGATGCAAGAGTGGTAGGCAACAATGACTAGGCTTAGCAACCTAGCAAGTAGGCAGGTCGATTGCCAGCGCAGCAAGTCGGTGGCTTGCCAACGCAGCTCGATGGCGGCTTGCCAGCACTTGAAGTCGGCGATCGGCCAGCGCTGCACCAGGGCAGCTTGCCAACACTGCAGCAAGGCAGCTTGCCAGCGTTGCACCGTAGGTGATTACGCATGTGTGCACCCACTTCGCATATGCGTATAGGCGGTTGGGCGCATCGTGCACCGCCCCAGAAACTGGGCAGGCGCCAAGTCGGCCACGTGCCGACGGTTGCACCTGATGCACCACATTGACTTCGGAATACCACCCCGAGGTCGACTTCCCTAGTA